GCGGAAGGATCGCCAGAGCCCAGCAGGTTGAGGCTGCAGTGGCCAGGAGCAGCCACTGCAATCCGGTCTGGGTGAGTGAGACTCCAACTCAAAAATAAAAAACAAAGCATGCAAAAGAAGACAATTCTGAATATGAAAAACCATACAGAAGACATATAAATGGCCAACAGGCACATGAAAAAGACATATAAACAGTCAACAGATATGTGAAAAATGCTCAGCACCTCTAATTATCAGGGAAATGCAAGTTAAAACCACAATGAAATATCAGCACACACCTGTTAGAATGTCTATTATTAAAAAGACAAATGATAGCAAGGGTTGACAGAGATATGGCAAAAGGGAACCTTGGCGCACTTGGTAGAAATGTTGATTAGTACGACCACTATGGAAAACAGCATGGAGGCTCTTCCAAAAACTAAAGATAAATGATTCAGCAAGCCCACTATGGGATATGCCCAAAGGAAGTGAAATCAGTCCGTTGAAGAGAGATCTGCATGCCCATGTTTATTGTAGCTTTATTCACAATAGCCAATGGAATCCTATTCTGAAAAAAAAGAGAATTCTGTCATTTGTGACAACGTGGATGAAACTGGTGGTCACTATGCTAAGTGAAATAAGCCAGACACAAAAAGACAAAGATTGCATGACTTCATTTATTTGTGGAATCTAAAAAAGTTGAGTTCATTGATGTAGAGTAGAATGGTGGTAAACAGGGGCTGGAGGGTGGGGTTGGAGAAACGTGGGCCAAAGCACATAAAATTTCAATTAGAAAAGAGGAATAGTGTAGTGATTCCTAAAAGATCTAAAAGTTGACCTCCCACATGACCCACTACTGGGAATATACCTGGAGAAACTCAAATCACTCTATGAAAAAGACACCTGCACATGCCGGCTTATTGCAGCAATATTCACAATAGCAAAAACATGAAACCAACTGTGCTGCCCGAAAGAGAACTGGATTTTTTTTTAAACGTGGTACATATACACAATGGAATATTATGCAACCATAAAGAAGGACAAAATTATGAACTTCACAGCAACTTGAGTGAACTTAGAGGCTATAATACTGAGTGATCTATCACAAAAACAAAGAACCGAGTATCACATGTTCTCACTCATTAACTCCATTATAAAAATTTGACCCCTTTTGCCTTCTGCCATATGATAACATATCAGGAAGCTCTCACCAGATGCTGCTGCCTTCAGCTTAGACTTCCCAGTCCCCAGAACCACGAGGAAACAAACTAATGTTCTTTGAAGTCACTCAGTCTGTGGTATTCTGTTGTAACAGTACAAAGTGGACTAAGGAAGGGTGGCACCAGAGGAGTTCGTTGTTATAATAAATACCTGACAATGTGGAAGTGGCTTTGGAACTGGGTAATGGGTTGAGGCTGAAACTGTTTTCTTCTTGCTGTTGTTTGTTTTGTTTTTCTAGAGATGGGGTCTCACTATGTTTGCAAGTTGGCATCAAATTCCTGGGACAAGCAATCTTCCTGCTTCAGCCTCCTGAGTAGCTGGGCCTATAGGTGCATGCCACTATGTCCAGCTAAGCTGGAACAGTATTTATGTGAATGCTGGAAGAAGCCCAATTGCTGTGGACAGAGTGTTAAGGGTGATTCTAGTGACAGCTCAGAGGAAGAGAACCGAAGGGAAAGACTGAAACTTCTTGGAGACTACTTAAATGGGAATAATCAGACTGTTAGTAGGAAGACAGATGGTAAAGGCAATTCTGGGAGGTCTCAGGTGGAAATGGGGAACAAGGTATTGGAAAGTAGAGGAATGACCATCCTTGTTAAAGCGGCAAAAAAAAAAAACTTGACTGAATGGTATCCACGCCGAAGGACTTTATAAAAGGCAGAATTTAGGAACAATAAACTAGCATATCTGGAGTAAGAAATCTCCAAGTAATAATTGAGGGGGCTGTGTGGCCTCTCTTAACTACATATAGTAAAATGTGAGGAGAGAAAAATGATTCAAAGATGAAATTTATAATCAGAGGAGAGGCAGAACATGAAGATGTGGAAAATGTGCAACCTGGTTATGTAAAGAATGAAAAAGTGTATATAGGAGAGAAAACCAAAAATGCAGCCAAGTGATTGTCTGGTAAGATTAGTAGAAATAGAAGGAAGCCAGGTGCTGTTCATCAAGACGATGGGAGAATGACCCCAAAGACACTTCGGAGATCTCCAAGGCTCCCATGCCCGTCACAGGCCCAGATGCTGGGGCCTAGAAGGCAGAAGGGTTTTGAGGGAGAGGCCCAGGGCACCTGTGGGACCTTGGGGCTCACTATCCAGGGGCACCTCAAGTATTGCACATCTGGTGCAGCCCCCCTTGGCTGCCCCAGCTGTGGCTCAAGCAGGCCTATGTGACTTGCATCCCCGCTCTGGAAGGCACGAGCTGTAAACCTTGGGAGTGTCTACATAGCATTAAGGCTAGAGGCACACAGAGTACACAAGCTGTGGAGGCATGCCTGCCTTCACATAGATTTCAAAAGATGCCACTGAGAGTCCCCACTAGGGCAGTGGCCAGGGAGCTGTAGGGCAGGGATCCAGCACTGCAGAACTTCCAATGTGAGATGCCAGCCTGGAGGAGCTCCGGGCACAAAACTCCAGCCCATGAGAGCTGCGGCATGAGCTGCACCCAGGAAAGCTGTGGTGGTGGTGGTGGGGGGGCTGCCTGTATACATGGGCCTAACTCCCACCGCAGTGTGTCCTAGGTGGTGGGGTGTGAAGCCAAGAAAGACTATTCGACAACCTTAACATTTAATGTCATTTGCTCCATTGGGTTTGGGACTTATTCAGGACCTGTCACTCCTTTCTTTTCTGTTGTTTTCTTTTAGAATGGGAACTCTATCTTATGCCTGTCCCATT